AATAAGCACTAGACTGCTAACCACAAGGTCCATGGTCCAAACTTGGAAACCCTACACCGAATGGTTATGAGTTGAAACTGACTTGACAGAACTTACGACAACAGCAACATGGTAAAATATTGAATGACATAGGAAATACCAAAAGAAGATGGAAGGAATACAGAGTCACTGTACCAGAAAGAATTGATTCAACGATTTCAAGAGGTAGCATATGATCAAGAACCAGTGGTATTAAAGGAAGAAGGACAAGCTACTAAAGGCATTGACAACACCAGGTACTGTAGGATAAACACTGGACTGCTACACAGTAAGCTTGGCAGCTCAAACCCACAGCTGCTCCTTGAAACCCCTATTGAGGGTTGCTGTGAGTTGGAACTGACTTGATGGCACTTAACAACAATGATTGTTTGCAATGAATAATTCTACCAGACTGCCTTTTTCAAATTTTGAAAAAAAGTTTTCAAATTCATTAGAAATGTGCAATTTTTGTACATTTGTTCCAAAAGTCAATGTCAATGAAAACATTTTGTTCCATTGTACTGATTGTTTGTACATGGTGGTAGGTACTGTATAGATTGTATTATTTAAGTGATGAAGACATTATCATTTAAGCTAGTAGCATTAAAGATCATTTAATGCAGCGTAGTGGTTACGAATCGGGCTATGAACCACAAGGTCAGCAGTTCGAAACTACCAGCCGCTCCGTGGGAGAAAGATGAGGCTTTCTGCTCCCGTAAAGATTTACAAGCCTCGGAAACCCTGTACAGGGTAACTCTGGGTCGGAACGACTCAACAGCACTTAACAACAAAAACAATGCAATTATGCCATTATAATAAAAAAGAACACAAGAGATTTTAGCATTAAAAGATTTATTAATAGAAACTTCAATCATGCAGAGTGATTTTTTAAAAAATGCACAGCAAATCAGAGTTCCAAACCCTTGGAGTGATTTCTCCTGTTGTACTCATCAGTGGTGACTGTGACTATCTCAGCAGGAGCACATGTGACAATTCACTGAAGCTACGAAGCGCACTCCTCTCAGCATATTACCGTCAGTTCTTGTCTAGTACAGCCTTGGTAACAACACTTGTTTGACAAATGCATAATGCTGTTTCTCTTCTTTCGGGAAAGTTTAATTAAGCTTTTTAATTCTGGAGAACTGCCGTCTGCTTCCTCTGGACTCTTCTGGATCATCTTCCGAAGTTCTTCGTTTGTCATCACCTCCTCTTGAAAACTAGGAGTCGATGCCAACATCATATTTAAATTTTCTGTATTTGTGTTGCTGTAGGATGTATCTGTGGGGTTAGAAAAAGAGAGGGATGAAATATTACTGTCAGGGAGCTGCCGGAAAATGATAGAACTCTGTATAACAAAGGAAAGCATTTCCTCAATATAGCTCGCCAATGAAACACCATCAGCGAATGTCCCAGTATCTGTTGACACAGGTTAACGTATTTGAAAGCACTGCAACATTCCCGGGTCTCTTCCTAGGACCCCCTTAATGCTTTGCTAGTGGTACTTTTGACTCTCCCTGGGACTGAGTACTCCTCTCGCTGAAGGCATCCTGGTCATAGAAAACTGACTACAAATGGACTTTCATACTTGCGTCGTTTCTTCCATTGCTAAGAACGTCTGAGTGATGATAGTAAGCTCTCCAAGCATAGTAATTATTTTAGGCTCAAACGCTCCGTGGAGGCAGCTTCCTACTCAGGATCAAGGAAAAAGCCTGGATTTCCTGGCTGCTTTGAGCTCACAGGTATGAGTGATGAGGCAAGATTTCACATGTCTAACGAAGTCTCTCCCCTACAGGGTTTGCAGCAAGTCAGTAGTTTCCCACTTCTATATCCTCTCCTCCAACTGCACCCCAAGAACTGGTTCATAGTAGCTGCTCAGTCCTGGGGTTTCAGTTAAACAAACAAAAAAAAAGTGTGTTGGTGTGGGGAGGGATGGTTGATGGCATAGGCCACAGGCCCACTTGTTTAGAAATAAGGAGAGTGCAATTGATAACCTCCCACCATCCATGTCCCACCCTTACATCCCAACATGAGGTGTCCTGTCCCGAGGCATCCCCCTTGGCTCTTGAGTTGGCCACCACTTGGCTGAACTTGGGCAGCTTGAACTGCTCTGCATTTCCCTTCTGTCACCACCTAGCTCCTATCAGGAGGATCTCTCCTGCCTCTGGGGAGATTCGTGGGAGACCCCCAGATGGAGAGTCATTTATGGAGTCAGGGTTCAGACTTTTGGAAGCAGCTGGAGTCACCACAGAGTCTAGTGGCTAAGCAAAATGGAGACCAGGAGCTGGAGTGGCTGCTCTCACCTTCAGGCAGGGGCGTTGGTCATGGTGTCTTACCTCTGGGACGCCTGTGCCATCGGGGACGGCCACAGAGTTCAATCCTGTGACGAATTAGTTCTCGGCCACATAGCTTCACAACGTGCTCGGCTGCAAGTTCTCTGGGGAGCTGGCTCAGCAGCAGCCCAACTCCTAGCAGGTAGAACAAGAGTGTACCTGACATAGTGGACTACAGGGGCCAGCCCTGGACGAACCAGGTTCCAGGAGGCAGACTGAGGATTATAATGACAGGAGACTCAAGATGGTCAGTCGAGAGTGCTTTAATGTCTTACACATTGAGTTTAAATACATACCGCTTACGTATTAGGGAGAGGGCAAATCATACATTTTTAGTTAAATGATTCACAAGACCTTTGCTTGATCACAATACCATTGACATCATTCAGTGAAAATTTGTTGTTGTTGTCAGGTGTCATCGAGTCAGTGAGAATAATATGTTGGAAATCAGTACGTGTAAAGATTGGTTTCGTAGGTAGGGAAAATAATTTCCAGGATAATTATAGAGATACGAATCAAGAGCTACATACTACCATAGTCACATACTTCAGAGTAATTTTCTTAACTAACTTGTTTTTCTACTAAATGGGTCCATATTCTCTTGGCCCATTGCTGATGGCTAGCAAGGCCTTCCTGTAGCTCTCTCCAAAGTCTTCCTTGGTTTAGAGAGCTACCGCCGGGTGGGCTTCACACACTTCCCTCAAATCCTACAGTGGACCTGCTTCGCAGTCTATCACCAGGGACTCTCTGGCCTTGGCTGCTCTCCCTGCCTGGCTACACTAGGCTTTTATAGCCCTTGGGCTCCACTCAGACCTTGAGGCAAAGGTTTCCAGCCCCACCCCTCTGTCCCCAGCCTCCAGGGATTTCCCCCTTAGTTCCTACTCACCCTCCCACCCTCTGAGTTTGGGCTACTCCTCTTCGGAATGTGATCCTCTCCTCCTTTTCCTACCCTCAAACCTTGGCGTTTGAATTTTATAATTAATTGTCATTTTTATTCTTATTGAGGATCTACAGCAGAACATACACTGATTGAGCACTTTCTCTCCATGCCATTCAGTGACACCCATGACATCCTGCAAGTTG